ACAATAGAGGTGGAAAACCGAGTAACAAGGATAAGGATAAAAAGGAAGGGGTACATCGAGTTCAGACGTTTTCCGAGATGCGGACGCATGCAGACAAAACCGTGGAAACAGCAGTGCCCAGCAACCACTGCCAGGGCCAAATTTTTCATTGTGGGTTTAGACCCCAAGCCTTTGACAGGTACAAGCCAACCGTATCTGGAACAAAAGAGTCATACTGAACAGTCTGGGGTAATACCCAGCTGAGAAGGGAAAAGAGGAGAGACAGTATGTCACAAAATAATTGGGCAAAGCGGAATATTAGGGGTGGTATATGCCTGTATGTATACATGTCTATGTACAGCTAGGTATGTACACGTAAAAACGAATATATAGACGATAGGCATGCAGCGAAATAGACCACGAAGTTTAGCCAACTCACTCGGGTGACATCGAAGTGAGGAACAGTTCTGCTAATAAATACGTAATCACAATGTTTCTAATATATGTACCAAGGTGGAATGTGTACCACAGATACAGCTTTGAAGCCGAATCAGCGTACGAATAGAGGTTTGGTTTAGAAAGTGGTCACAGCAACCAGGTTTTGTATGTGCCACAGTATTAGGCCAGATAAATAAAGCGAAAACGGAGTGAGGAACGGTTTTGGTATTGAATAAGTAGCCACAATACTTCTAAGAGTATGTACCAAGATAGAATATGTTTCACAGATACAGCGTTGAAGCCGAATCGGTGTACTGATAGAGGTTCGGTTTAGAGAGTGGTCACAGCTAACCCGTTTGCATGTGCCACGATGTTTAGTCAAATAAATCAAGCGAAATCGAGGTGGGGAATATTTCTGATAATGGATAAGTGGTTACAATACTTCTAGGATTACATTCTAATATATTATGTGTTCCACAGATACAGCTTTGAAGCTGAATCGGTGTACTGATAAATGATCACATTCGTAATACGATGCTTGGATGGGAGGATCACCGGATGCTTAAGCGAATCCGACATATGGGACCACTGCAGGCGGCCACGAACGCGTAACAATCCATCGACTAAGATGGGGCTGAGCTTTCTAATAGGGCTTTTTGCATGAAATCTCTGATTATTCGCGTTATCCTCAAGTAACACTTATTGCTCTTTAGGAAAACATTCGGTCTGCACAACTCGTATCACTGCTGCACGACTGACTTGCAGGTATTCTATTGTCAACGGACCGATCCGCAATGACATATTACCCTGATCTTTCGCAAGAATAAGGAGGTACCGT